TGCGACCCGCCTTTTAAACTTTACCTCTTTACAGAAACTCACACTTCGATGGCATGTCAAAATCTTCCATAAAACTACTCAATTTTTTATGTATTTACATGTCTACCCCAACTTTGATTTTTATATTTATACCGCTCAAATATTTCATATCAAATACTCTCACGCATATGAAGTTTATGTGTTAGATATATAAATACATAAAAGTTGAGTGGTATGCATGTAAATCTTCCAAAAAGATAAATTATCTTTTGTGTATTATATTTACAAGTTTGTTAGTTAGTGATTGGATGTAGGCATATTTTTTGTTTTAGTCAAAGCACAAGCATGATCATGTGGTTAGAGACTAAGCTAAATGGGTCGTGCATTTGGAAACCTAAGAATTTGTCATTGATAATTGATGGATGTTGGACATTTATTATTGACAAATGCTAGGTGTTAGCTCTTAGCAAATGTCAACATTATCGTTAACTTGATAAGATAGGAGATCATATAACATAGAAGGTGTACATTCGATGTGTATGATTAGCGAATATCAAAGATTAAAACATGAAGGGTGCAAAAAGTTGGATGTTGAATGATGGTTTTTTAATCATTTCCTTAATAGGGTAAGAGCTTAGGTGACTTGAAGACAAACATCATGCATTACTAGTTAGTGGATGTTAAATGGTTGAGGATGATTAGTTGTATTGTTCTCTTAAGAAGGAGGGAAAGCATATAATCTAAAAGTTGGGTGTAGTGATTAGTTTTATTGTTCACTTAATAGCAAATCAAATGCTTGTAAATAGTTACTAATCAAGATGATTTATTTTTGTTTATATTTAACCTTATTTTATTGTCATAAAAATTATTTCTTGATGAATAATATATAAATATATTAATTGTATCAATCAACTATTTAGCAATTTATTTTTTATTAATCATATATTTACTATTTAACATATATTATATTATGTGGAAGCCAAATATGTTCGATAGACGGTACCCAAGACATAGTTACTAGTGAGGTGTTTCTAGGGTTCTTAGACCCATTTTATTTCACTTAAACAGTTGGGTTACAAGTGGAGGAACTAAAAGCTCCAAATACATGATCTCTCCTTTTTATAGAAGATAGAATTGACAAAGTATAAAAATTATATTATTAGCCATGCTTTAAAGAGATGAGTGTTGTTCTTCCCTGTTACACATGAGGTGTGTATTTTAGGTATGACTCCTTGCAAGAAGCCACCTTATTATATTACCATGCATATCAAAATAGTGAACTTGCGAGCACGCCAAAAGCACAAAAGTTAATGCCTAGCTAGGGCAACCAAACAAGTAGAAAACTATAATCAAAATTATAAAAAAAAAACTACTTAGCATCTTGGTCCTTCGCCTAGCACACCATCTAACACAATATCCTAACTAGCATCTAAGTGACTGCAGGGTTATGTCGTTGTCAAGGGCCTCATTCTAAGGATCCAATGATTCTAAGGGTGCCACTAGATGCAGGTTCTGAAAAGGGTTTTGAAAAATTGACCTCACATATGGTCTAAGCTAAGGATCCAAATAGGTTCAAAGTAAATTTAATAAGACATGATGCATAAAAGTAGTGAAAAAAATATATATTTTTATACTTTTGAAAGTAGGTCCTAAGAAAAAAAAAGCCTACATGGCACCTATTTGACCCTTTGGAACTTTAGTCAAGGCGTGTTAACTAGTACTGCCTCACTGAGGCTTCCACGTAGGCAATACTCTCTACCCCATCGTGATTAGCAGAGCGTCACTCATCTAACGAGGCAGGTGCATCATCAAGACAACCTGGAGTGCACGTGCAAATGTAAAATGATCGAGTGTTAAGTAATACTCACTATGGAGAATTACACACCAGGTAGGCTTGATGTGCAAGTTGCCCTGAATAGGACATGTGGATGTCCGAAATGAGTATGTATGTGAATAATGAATCAAGAAGACTCAAACATACAAGCGATGAACATGCAAGATGTCTTACAAGCCAAACATGCAAGAGTGCACTAGTGTGAGTGCAAACACCAGTGACGTGGAGCGTTTTAAATCATGGAGTGAACGTATTGAGTAATGTGTCGTTGGGAGGGACGAGTACTCATCGCAAATATATGAGCGCATATGCTTGCAAGTGCACTATAGAGTGCGAATGTGGATGTGCTAATGCATGCAATGTAAAAGAAATGTGATGAATGCAGCATACCAAATACAAATGATTGACCGAACAATTGGACCAGGGGCTGCACCAATCGATCAAGCAGATTGAGGGTGATCGATCGAGCATGAGTGTGTGGTCACTCATGCTCGATCGATGAAGAAACATGAACAGATTGGTTGCGATCAATCAATTAAAAGGACCGAGGATAGTCAATCGAGCTGGAGTGCGTGACTAATCGATAAAGCGTGAGTGATCAATACAATCAGGTCGTTAGTGACCAGTTAATCGAGTAGACCAGAGATGGTCAATTAAGCCTGTGGTGGTCGATTGACGAAGGAGTTGATATATACAATAGGGTTGGTGGAGGGCGACCGATCGAGAGAACTGAAGATGGCTAATTAGACTGGTGTGGGCGGCCGATCGACGAAGCAAGATCAATCGATAAGATCGGGCCAGTGGCGATCAATCGATCGAGTAGACTGAAGATGGCCGATTGAGACAATTCGATCTATGGTAGTCGATCAATGTAGTGGATCGAAGATGCTTAATCAGGCCAACGTTGGCGGTCAATTAATACGATTGACATGCGACGACCGATCGATCAAACGGACCAAAGATGGTCGATCGGGCCAACGTGGGCGACCAATTGACGAACAATGGTCGATCGGGTCAGTGGGGTCCAATCAATCGAATGGATCGAAGATGGTCGATCGGGTCGACGTTAGTGGCTTATCGACAAAACATACAAAAACAAATGGTTCTTGATGTTATTTTAAGTTTATGCCATGCACACCATGAAGATGTAAATATATTCGACATGAGACTTGGTTAGATTCGACGATGAGTTACACTCATCCTAGTTAACTCAGAGGTGTAACAATGTCATATTGTGTGATGCAACATGACACTTGCCTCCATTCGCATGGCACTAGATAGGGAATCCTTCGCAAGGGGGATTCTCCGCGACTGAGGAGAAGTCGACCAAAGGAACACCTTTGTCTTCTCGTTTGATGGATTTAAAACTTCCATCTGAATGAAATCACTGATGCAAACAATAGTATTATTATAACCCCAACTTATAGATTTTGGTTTAAAAAGAAAAGGCGTAAGTTTTGCTCTTGGATTCACGAAGGACAACACAAAGCACCTAATTCTATGAAGCTTCCTCTAGAAACACAAAAATCTTAACCTAATTACTCTAACATCCAGACTTAGGGGGCTCTAAGAATGAAAATTGCAATGGGTTAAGAGATTTTACCTACGTGATGTTTGACCAAAGCATTGGTCTCATAGGAAGAAGCTATCATTGCCAGAGAGAGTGTCGACGCAGTCGGATTTTACCTTTTCCTGAGAGGTGAAGAAGCTCTCCTCATTGGAGAGGATGATGAAATTTCTAGAGTTCTCCTTCCCCAAAGCAATGAAAAATTTGTCCTCTTCAGCTCGCCAGAATGTTATCAGAGACGAAGAAGATGACCTGAGAAATGAGAAGAGAGGAAAAGAAAATGGAGAAGAATAGCTTTCCTAAGCTTCTCCTTGAGGAAGAAGATGAAATACCTTAAGAAATCTCCTTGTAAACCCTTGAATCTCTCCCTTGTTCCAAAGCTCCACTCCTACACAAATGATCGTCAATCCCCTGCAAAATGGCCTCCTTCCCCTAGTTAAACTTGCCTTAAGGAAAAGACCATGGGTCTCTAACAGCTTTCATCATTTGGCATGGACCAAAAATGGTCCTCATGCCATTTTTGGGTGAAAGACCAACAAAATGGGATGGACCACCAGTCGTGGCCGCCTTGCCGGCGGGAATCCGGGGATCGAAGGTCATGAATCACAGAACAGATTCGGGTGGCGTGATCACACTGGGTTCGGGTTTTTTCACGCCACTATTCATAGTGTTGCAAACGGGTGTTCAGAGTGATGACCCCCGATGCCTCGACGTAATTACGTCAGGCGCTTTATTTGGCTGGCGTGGTCATGTCATTCTTAGGCGTGGTCAAGCCACTTGACGGATCTAGAGCGTTTGGGGAAGGTTTTGGCTTTGGCCATGCCTGAATTAGGCGTGGTCACACCACTGGTTAGGCATGGTCACGCTAGACCCCAAAAAATTTGGCCTTTCGAAAAAGCTCGCCAAGGGGGTTTCCGTCCTCGTGAGGGAGGATGTATATGAGCAGTTATGATCCAAGGACCTATGTGAAAGCCTTGAACGTGTCTCAAAAGAGCTCTAGAAGATGAACTGTGAATGTGTCCCCAAGTAACACGGTTCTATCATGAAATACGTCTGTCCGGACCTTAGGCTTAAGGTACAAACACAATGCAGGGTAATTTTGTTGACTAGCTGCATCACGAGAATATCTTTACCTGCAAGATATGTCCCGGTATCGCATGAACGAACGTTATACAGTCTCATATTACTTAGGGAGGATATCATGTGTATGCTACATAAAAAATATATGTCAATAAGGGGGAACCAAAAACCCCCAATATATGCTATGACCCTCCTATTTATAAAAGATAAGAATGATAAATTATAAAACTTACATTATTAGTCTTGCTTTAAAAGGATGAGCAATTGAGATTCTAATTTTCTTATTCTGACAGTTATACTATCTCGAAACTGAGTGGAACATTTTGGTTTTTATCATGATAAAATATATTAAGTAATTCTACAATTATCAAATAATTTTTACGAATTTTCATCTTAAATCTTATTTTGGATTGTTTAGTGTATGTATGTATGTATGTATGTATGTATGTATGTATATATATATAT